ATTAGAGCTTTATTTATAATTGTGCCTTCAAAATTTGCTTCTGAAAATTTGAAATGACCCAATTATGCAAACGCTATGAAACGATTAATTGAATAAATAAATAAATATATGAGGAATTTAAATCGAAAAAATGGTCGAAAACACTGATTACCACTGGGCGAATCGGTAGCAATCCTCTCTCTGTACTGTCGATAGTAGTAAACAGTCGCGGTACAACGGTGATAAAAGGTGGGAAGGTGACCTCGAAGGCGTCTGGCGGTAAATCTTCGATATCATGACGGTCCAGCGAAATGAGTGGTCTGAAATTTGTGGGATCTGTGGAAAGGCTGATGTGTGCTCTCAAAATATAATTTTCAACTGACATGTGTGGTGTTGTTGGGCTTCTCGTCCATTCTGCTTCACCCTTAACACTTCCGGAACTGTGCTCGCCAGGTTTCATTTCCGATTGGATATGGGATGAAGGTGGTGACTCGATAAGTACCGGGTGAATTATCTGAGGTCCGGGAATTTCGACAAGTTCATCGGTCGACTCATCCACCTCCGAAACCAAAGATCGGTGCCTTTGCTCCGATATCGCTGTCTCCCTCACTGCAAATTTTCCTTCTAGACAATTAGCAATGATTATTAACATAATTCTCTAATTGTTCGGAATTGTTTATAACAAATCTAATTAATCACAAAGTCAAAATTAACTCTATTAGTAATTTGGCACCATTGTGATTTTGAAATCTGAAATCAATTACATTTTGGTGACATGACAGTTATCGAATCACTCGTGACCTCGTACTGTTCACAATATGGAGGTTGAAGATTTGGTCGAAGGCACATCTGTACGTCGTTGGAATCAATTCGATACAACCACTGACCTGGTTTTCCAATATTGCTACTTTTACTCAAGTGCACTATTTCATTAGTACCCGATCCAGGTAACATCAATGGGTTCTTTGAATCGTACGTCAAAATGCTAGCCTAAAATTTCAATATTTTATATAATATCCTAATTATGGCGCGGCTACCTACTTGAAAGAATGTCTCTATTTCGGTTAATCTGCAATTAATTAGTTGATAGACAGTTGCAAAGTTTTGGATTTAATAAATTTTAATTGATTTCGGTGATACCATACCTCAGCACCATCGCTCCAAGGTAAGTCCTTGTACAACATTTGTGCATATGTTTCATTTTGGTGCTGTTTGTTTGTTCCGCCGATAATTAATGTTTGGAATGTACTGCCTGGACTCTATAATTTTTATTTTTATATTTTCCTTTTCTTTTTTTAGATTTAAATCAAAACATTAACATGGAGTGAATATGAGGATAAAACTTATGTATGTCCAGAAAAGGAACCGTTCGATCAGCATCGGTAACATTGACGTAAGTGACCAGTACAGCAGTCGTCGCCTGGAATTTTTTGTCATTTGTGCTATTTGCAACTGTCTTCGTGGCTCTTGAAAGCACTTTTGGATCTGCAAAAAAAGCTTTGTCGAGATATTATATACCAACACTGAATTTTGCTGTTCTCATCTTCACCATCTCATTAATTTCATTACTCATAAAATTTAAAAAGTGAACCACGGGAAAATTGAAATAGTAAGACTAAACGGAAGAAATAAAAAAGAACAAAGTTAGATGAATAATGAGTAGAAAATAATGAAATTGAGAATGAAGAAGGATAAAATAAGCAGAAAAGAATGAATTATGAAAACAAAAATTATACACCGTCCCATCGCGATAATATGATGAGCTTACCGTCTGTCTCGTCCACAAATATTTGACCACCTTTCCGGATGTCAATATTTGCAAAGAAGGGTGCTATGCCGTGTATTCCGGAGGTAGCGAGGTGATCACCTGCGTTAACTTTCGAGCTGTCTTCTACAGAAATTATTCCTAACGTCGAAATCTGCAAAAACTGTTATTCATGCAAACTGATTAACGATAAAAGTGAACCATCGACTGAGTTTCTGACTGAACACACACGTTCAATTTTTCGGGTCAGACGGTTCACGTCACGAAAATTCCGCCCATCCCTAATTGCCAATTCCGTACTTACAAGGAAAAGAAGAAAAGTGTCACATAGCCAACAATCAAGTAGCAGGGAGGGAGATGTAATCGGTGGATATCAGTACATTATTGACAGCATCGGTTACTAGGCATCGACGTTCAATTAAATTGAATAAAGTAAGAGTTAATGTTTTGGGTTATTTTTGTATTGTGATCCTTTACAGAATGTTGTGTGTCATTTAACTGAGAAGAGAAACGTGAGCGTGAACAACGTATAACAATGTAAAAGCTCTTCGACCTCATTCATGAAGAGTATTTTTAATAAGAAGGAACTTACTAATAGATGACATAAATGCTAAGGTCAAAGTACTTCAGTGTACCGCACTTGGTACAATAGAGTACCGTGTTGCTGTTCAATAAGTAGTACAGATCGGCAACTAACCATTAATTTGTCCAATTGCTTGCCAAATATTTGAAGTGGTTGTCTGAGCTGTAACACTACCCGGGCGTTCCTATCCTTCGGTAATTCCTGATGCCCTCTGTATGAGTACAGCAATGAACTCGTACATTCATTCACTCCATCACCAATGAATCCATCCGCACATGTACAGAAGTAATGTCCTGGGGTATTGCCACAAATTGCATTTTCGTGACACACACCTGGTTGCAAGCACTCATCTATATCTGCAAGATGAGGCATAATTATAGCACCATAGTGAAAATTGGAACTAATTCTTCATTCAATTGTTATTAAATTAATTCATTAATATTTTGTTCGAATAGCATCACAAGCTTCATCTGTTCATCAAATAGCACATAAATTTATAAGCTGAACATTTCTCTTTGCTCATAGCATTAAATTTTGGTCAGCAAAAGAAAAATTAACATGAATGGTTTATAGGAATGACGATAATTGCAGTTTCATTTGTGAAACGAATAAACTCGACGAGCCTCATTTATTTCCTCTGATTGATTACTATTTACTTTTCAGTACTTGTAAAAAGTTAGCAGTATTGAAATTTTTTAATTCATTCAATAATTTGTAATTTTTGAAACATTGATGCAACATGTTTCTTATGGATTTGCAATCAGTAAATTGATGAACTTTTTATCAATTATTTTTTAATAAGCAAGGAGTGGCGCAATGAATGGATTTTCAAATCCGACTTTATCAGTGTTGCGCTGAGTACCACATGATCGGATATCTTTCATTGTGTGAGAAGTGATATTCATTTCTCCAAATCTCAAAGGAAAGGTTTTTTTGATCCTTTGCAAATGTTTTGAAAACAAACCGTCACACACGGTATATCCGTCACCTTTGAACCCTTTCAAGCATTGACATCGTTGGATCGGTTCACCACAACGATCATAATCCGTGAATGATATGGCATTATGAGAGCAATGTTCTTCCATCATGGTTTCACATTCCTTTTTCTCTTCAAATTATTTTTTTTGCAAATAATAATATTTCACATTAAAATTATAATATATCACAGATTTCATGATTTTGGACCTAAAGTCTGAACATGATAATTGACAAGACATTTTTTAACTAAATAAAGGAAAAACAATTAGGTTAAAAAAGAGAAAAAAAGAGAAATTACTATTATTGATACCATAAATTTTTTATTTTTGCAAAATCAGATATTTCAGAGTAGGAGAACGTTTAGCAATTTTATTTCGTCATAAATTTTGACTTTTGAAAGTAATGTTAGATGAACTCTTTCTTTTACGAACGTTAGCGAGCTGATGGTAACGTGGCTTAAGGAGCTTGTTCGTGACTCAGCTTAGTTTAGAAGGAGAGCTCAACCAGTTGGCGGGGATAAACTATCGGGGAACAACAAGAAATGTATAGAGCTTTACGCGGGTATAATTCCATGTATTGCTATCAAATGGTTATCAGAGAGATAGGATAACCGTGTATGAAATACGATTGAAAGACCTACTTTCCTGGCAAGTTGGCAGTCCTGTCCAACAATCGGAACATTTGCCACCAATACATTCACCGGTGATTCCGCTACAAGTCCCACTAGCACAATGACAACACAGTGCGCAGTCTGGACCCCATTCACCAGCCGAACATTCTACAATTTTCATTTTCATGGCGATATTACTTTAAATTCTGATAAGAGGTCAATTATTGATCGGTCTGACATTTTTAAAGACAAGGCAAAACGCTAAGAGAAGAAAGTAACCTTCGTCACAGGTATCTCCTTTGATACCATACTTGCACCGTTCCACTCTTCTGTCGCCAAGCTTGAACATCCATTCACCAGGGATTCCTGTATTGCCGTATTCTTCCAGATACATGATATTACCGGTGCCAGAGGTTGGGAGTGCGAAAAATTCCTTCGTATCGCCCTTGTTGAAACCTGCCTGTAACAAAGTGCTGAACATTTATTTCATTTCACCTCTTAAAGACTATTTATGTTCATCACATTTTCACTCGTTTGCATTACTGAGGTACATTCTCGTCATTCTTAACAAATTAACACATTTGAAGCAGTTAACTTTTTTCATTTCAAAATTTGTACTAGAATGACTTTTCTGTTCGCCGATAGCTATTTCTTACTTGGAGAAAAAAGCATGCAAACCTCAGCTCCCTGTGTCCAACCGATATTTTTGTAAATGAAATTAGCAAAGGTGCCATTGTCAGTAATAAAAAGTGCCATTTGGAAAGTGTTCGTATTCTGTAATAAAATAAATTAATAAGAGTATTGATTCTAAATTGGATTCCATGAGTTTGCACGTGTATTTGGATGTTATAGACAACAATTAATCACTGTAACGAACATCTTCAGGTAGAGGCGCAGCGCCGACCGGCTGCATTTTGTCCCAGGTGACTAGCAAACATGTCTTCACTTTCACCACTTCATCGTATTGGTAACGGATTTCACTTTGTCCACGTTCCAGAATACGTCCCGCTAAAAGTTAAGCTTTCTTTTGTAATGCTTCACTGCTGAAATTATGCCTAATGCTATCATTAAGAAAACGAGCTAAGAATTCCACTTTAGCTAAAAATATATCTACATCATAATTATCAAACTTGTTATGCTTTTTTTGCTTAGATCTCCAAATGTAATTTAGTGCATTTTCATTTTACATTTTTATACTAATTCATTGATATTAGCACACTTTTAATCAGACTACCTTTAAAGCTTTTTATTAGAGTCTCATATTGGATATGTGTGTTGATAGATCTAATAAATCATAAATTTAAATTTCCATTGCTCTCTTTCAACTAAAACTTTAAAACAGAATAAGCTGGAGAGAAGCGGAGACGATGGGTATGAAGCAAATTATTTACCTGTTACTTCTCGAAAATAAACATTTCCACCGTTCCGTAAGTCATTTCGATTCCAAAATACTGCTATCAATTTTAAATCACTTGGTAATACATTTTGCCGATAGGTTCGTCTATTCGATTCGATGACAATACCTCCATTACTCAATATCTAAGTATATTTATTTCAACTTTCTACTTAATCTGTGTTGATGACTTCATCAAGAAGTACAGTACCTCATGAGAGAGCATCTAAATTGTACTGTGACCAAAATACTGATTTACAGCAGATCTACAATACTACGATTAATAAAAAATTTGGGATAATTACTATTCTATAAAGCTTATTTATCCAAATGACTTACATATACAGTTGATGTGTCCACACCATAAAATCGTAATGGATAAATTAGATTGATCTTTTTTTCAACATCCAAATTTCGCAGTAACTCTTGGTCCCCAACATCTGGGCCATACTCAAACAATCGGCTGGAGAACAGAGGCGCAGTAATCTGAAACAGTTAATTTGTCACTTTTTCATAGATACTCCAACTTCAACTGTGTTGCAAAATCATTTTCCTCATTCTTATGTATATGAAGCGCAAACTGAAATTGAGAAATATCAAAAGAGTGGGGACATTTTCCTCCACAAATTTTTCCATGTGAGTAACTTTACCAGTAAAATACTGTAAAACAATATAAAAATATAATCACTTTAGACTAGCAGAAGATTAGCATTCTTTGTTGTATGTCTCGAAATATATCAAATGATCAGGCAGAAAATGGATGCTCTGTGGTTTAGAGATTACATTGTAGAGTGGTGCACTCAAATGTAATTTGGAATATCCATGAATAAATTCAACCTTTGTGAATACTTTCCCAAATGACCTTTCATCCTCCTTCTCTCGCAGGAAACGACGACATGTAAACTTTTATATTATGCATGAGGGATTCTTTAAATAGTGAATTTTTTAGCATTTTCAAAATCAGTAGCTGCGAATTTTAATGATTGTACATTGCCACAAACGATTAAAATGAGCTATGCGTATGAATTACTTTATCTGAAAAGTTATTGTGGAACAAATACATTTTCACGAAAAATCCACATTAATTGAAGGCATTTTATTCGATTAATGTTTTATGCATCATTTGTAATGAAATTTATGAAATTTGGGCAAAAATGGCTCGGAGATTTCTTGCGTATCGTAGCGATGATGCAAATCAAATCTTCACGTTGCAAATTTTTGACTTGACAAGTCATACATAAAATTCATGTATGTTCTAAGACTTCAAGTAGACAGGAATAGCATTGAATTACTATGCGCGAATCAGAAAAGAAGTAGGAAAAAGTTTACTGAAATTTGTTGCTCACTTCTCAGATAAACGTGTAATGCGTTCAATGACATCTCAAAAGTAAAGTAGAAAACGTAATTCCATTATTGCAAATGAATGGAACGAAAATATCACTGAAACGACCAGAAAGATTATCCGCCGAGTAATCATTTTCATCGCATACATTGATTTTGACATTAGTCAGCTACAACTACGAATCTCTTTCTCAACGTCATTCTTCACTTCGACGTATTAAAGATTATCAGAAAAAAATCCTTCAACTGATCAAATCAACATAGCTATTTCGTATATCACTACATGCTTAAATCGTAGATAAGAATATACAATGACACAAAAAAGATGATCGGATGACCAATCAAGAAGTGGAATCTTTTGGAAATGATTAAATTATTTAGAAAACATTCCCGGAACTGCTGACTTCAATCTGCGCAACATACAGAGATCATATAGAACAAACGGAAGTTTCAGTATTATATAAGTTGCATGCCATCGAGAGATATCGATCGTTTTGACAAGTGGATTTGAATTGAAAATTCAAAGCTAAACGTGAAATTAACATTGCAAATTCTGCTGGACGATTGTGGATCTCATTTTTGACTGCCGTACGGGCACATATATTTCGAAATGCGTCAAAGAAAACAGAATGATGGCAAAATTTCGAACATGGATTGTTGCAAAGATTTTACCCGGTAAAAAGGGCAGCAGTAAAATGCATTAGTATGTTTTTAAATTTTCTGAGCGATTATTTCAGTGACTGCTGAAAGTTTTCTCGGAAATGATTATTCACGGAAGAATGCAAAAGTAACCTGAGATACCTTGAGAGGCGTAACCCAAAAAATGCATTATCCAAAACCTTTCGTCAAAAATTCAAGGTTTGAATTAAATGTCTTGCTAATTTAATTTACTACAAAAATAAGTAAGAAATAGTACAGTAGATTTTCTGGGAGAGTACAATGATATTCTTTTCTTAGCTACGAATGAAATAAAAATTAAGTTTAAGAAAGAAGCTGAAATCAAATTTTGGGAATTTTCAAAAAGCTGTATACCAGTAGACGACGGCAATGTATCAGTTATCATTAGTTGAACGGTATAATACTTGCACCTATTTGATTTATTCATTAAATAAATTGTAAGAGAAATCCACCAGTGAATTTGAATTTAATTTTACGTTATTATTGTTGTAAAGCATCAGTTTTTCGTTTCTGCGAGAGATTTAACGACTGATATAATTATGAAATAAATTTAAATATGAACGTTCAAATTCAATTAAATAAGATTGTATAGATGAAATCATCCATGAAGTTTTACACTCTCAAACTTTCTAACGGTACCTTTCGTGATAATGCTTTGAAACTGGTTGTGTCTCTTTCTGCTAACAACAATGACCATCAGAATCATACCGAATGGTTGATAGAAATTAAATTATTTGGTAGGTATGACAGGACAGGATCAATTAGACAGAACTGGTTGTTGTGGTACTCTCGTAAAGTAACAATAATAGAGATAATTGAAAGGAATAAAGACGCAACCAATTTAATTCAATTTGTGTAGTTCAAAATGATATCTTTCAGCAATCTTATCTATTATTACTTTTTCCCAATAAATCAGTAATTATAACAAGTAAAAATTCACGTTTTAGATGGTAAGTTGCATATTTTGAAAATCAATCATGCAAAATGATAAGCTAACCAAACAATCTCTTTTCCATTCTTACCTGACCTTTTAATTGAAATTTGAAATCATTTAATCGTCCTATTTATTCTCCCAAATAACACGCACTTTTTAAAGCTATAGAAAAACTTAAAGCACAAATTCAAATTGAAAAATTTTGATACGAAAAATTTTGATTTTGGATTATTTATTGATAAATGCTGTCAAATAATGATAACTGTATCAGAATTATGTCGAAGTTCTAGTTTATAAATGCCTGTCACTCTATCAAAAGCTTAATCCACAATTTGTAAAGGACACAATCGAGGATAATATTATGTCAAAATTGACAGGTCAAATATTATTACAAATGTTGATTCTGCAGGTTTCTGTGAACAAAGGATAAAGATGCGATGCTGACGTTATCTTTTTTGATAAACTGCTAAAAGTTTTCCATATACTCTTACAGAAGTAATTTTTCCCAATGGGTCATCAGACAATGCTCTATGAGTCATACTGAAACCAAGCCGATATTTTGAAATTTGCTCAAAAAGATTAAATTCTGATTAATTATTAAGATAATTAATTTGTAAAATTGGCAAAAATTTATTTGAAATTTAAAAAATTAAAAGAAAATCCAGAAAATTTTCATTCAGAAGTGGTGCTTATTTTTTACTAGAAGACAAAGATAAGGAAATATCTTCATGAAGAAAGCATTAACATCGGCGAAAATTTCATCAAATATAAAAAAAAGGATATCTGATTGACCTTTTCTTCTTTCGTTCAGTGTTGTCAAAGCAGAAATAATATAACTACTACTGACTATTCGTGAATAAGCGAGGTCATTCAAGCTTTTTGTAATTTATGCAAATAGAGCATCAATGGGAATTGAAATACAATCACCCATTATTTATGTCAACCATATCAACGAATGATACATTACCTTCAGATCGCCTTTCTATCCCCGTAGGCTGCAATTCACCTCACTGTCACTTTTTGCAATAAAGCATCAAAAGAGTCTCCTTAATATTTCCCCACTCAGCTGTGTATATTAAGCGCATCTCTGATGACAAGCCTAATGGCAAACTAATAAAAGTTACAAAATTCTATTACAGAAACCTATCTATCATATCTCTCTTCTTTAAAAAACCTTATGCAATTCAATCAATTAATACTTGAATATTTACAACTATTTTTATCCATTTCTTATATCGCTGTTTAAAGATCCTTGATATCTGTTAAGTTAAGCCACTATTAAATGATACCGTAAAAAGTTTGCCTTTGCCGGAAGGAAACTGTGTCTCCAATTCGTTCTCATCACTTCTCCTCTCTTATCATTATTGTTATCATATGACAAGGAGATAAATTGCGCAATTTTCCCAAAACTAGCAGCACTTCTAATTCTATGATAAATGAACGATTACGCAATTAAATTAAAAGAAAAGCATAAAAGGATCTTTTTGGAAAAATGCTTCAGCTGGAAGGTTTGAGAAGAAATAAAAAGGAAATCAGCTCAGTGATAATCAAATTTTCTGAGTGTAAAAATTCTTGGTAATAATTGCACTTTTTTTAATAAAAGAATAAACTAACAGAAATAGAAATTTCTTTGGGTGTTGCCAGCTGTCGTCTGTTTCTTCCCATTTTAACTAATCTATCCATTTCCATCTCTTTCTCAATTCGCAATCGTGCAGCAATTCGTTCCGGATTCAATCTCATCGCAGTTATTCGTTTTGGAATCCCACAAAGAAGGGCCAGAAGTAACAATGAAAGGAAAGTTCGTCGAGAACACACAGCAATTGAAATATGTTTATTTTCCCACTTCATTTCTGATTCTTCTTACCCGCTAATTCTGAAATAAAACTTCATAAACTTATACAAACAATGTTCGGTTTAGAGTAAAAGTACGGTACAATTGAGAAATGAGAAAATGGGCGAATGAGGGGACAACGGTTTGTAAATGGCATATCGACAGGTGGCAACATTCCACAGAATTGTTACTTTCATTATCCGTGCAGGATGAATTGGAGCATAATTTGAATGTTTCTCAAACAATGCATAATCTCTAAATTCTTTAAAAATTTCTCTGTGAACTATCTGTGATATCAGGAAGTAGTCAAAAATATAAATTGCTAATTAATTTTGCAGATGGATTAATCTGAAAAGTTTTAAAAAAATGAAAACTTTTAAATTCAGCAATGCAATCGTATAATTTTCAATATCTTTTTAGATAACTGCGATTATTTATCACTGTTAAGTAGTTAGTATATTTTCTCTTCGATGATAATTATCAAAATACAAATTACAACAACCAATTTTTGTAATATTTAGCGGTTGCGTTTGATAACTCATATGGAATATCACGTACGTAAAATATAAAGCGCATTCCAGTGCTTTGCAAATAAACATGTAGTGTAGATTATGAGTTGAAAAATGGGTAAGA